CACCACTTCTATCCAGAAGGACAAGGGCAGCAGATACATGGGAATACCACCACCTTCAAGTTCCCCTCCAAGCCATTCACCATCGTGACTTGAAAATATATTTAGTCACTGGGTCAACCTCCTAGAAGTTCCTCCATAATGGCATTGTGAGACTACCTGCAACACATGGACTGCAATGAATCAAGAAGGCAGCTCACAACCACCTTCACAAGGGCAATTAAAGAAAGGCAAAAAAATGCTGGCCTAACCTGGAATGCTCATATCCAGTATCAGGATAATATAACTATAATAATAATGGTGTGAGGCTATTTTTAAGGGTAGGGAGGAGTAGCAAGGCGACGGATTTGGATTGAATGTTCCTCACAGAGGAGCTAAAGATTCTTCTACCAGTAAGAGAATGAACAAGGTGGGGAAACACTCAATGAAGAGCCAGAGGGCTGTAGGGCATGTTGAGAGAATGAGAAAGTGCACTTATCAACTAAGTCAAGACTGTGCAGGTAACTGAAGACAATTTGAAATGTAACACATTGGACGACCGTAAGCCAGTGTAGGTCAGGGAGTGATGGGTGAGAATAGCATAGTATGGGCAGTTGAACTTTGAACAAGTTGTAATTTATAGAGGTGGAGGATATGAAGTTGATGTAACACTAGCTTTACATGCAGAGTTCAGCATCAATGACCACACCCATGAACTGACCACAAATCCTTCGCAAAATATGTTGCATCTTTACATACTCATGACCTAGGTGTACCTGTAGTGTAGTGTAATTTCCAAGAGGACATCCATCACAGTATTCCAGTTTACCCAAATATACCCACCGAACTTATCTCCACCTATACAAAATCCACAAACCTGACTGCCCTGGTCGACCCATTGTCTCCACCTGCTCCTGCCCCACCGAACTTATCTCCACCTATAAACCATTTCAACTCCCCCTCCCATTCCTCAGACGACATGTCCATCCTGGGCCTCCTGCAGTGCCACAACAATGCCACCCGAAGGTTGCAGGAACAGCACTTCATATTCCGCTTGGGAACCCTGCAGCCCAATGGTATCAATGTGGACTTCACAAGCTTCAAAATCTCTCCTCCCCCTACCACATCCCAAAACCAGCCCAGCTTGTCCCCACCTCCCTAACCTGTCCTTCCTCCCACCTATCCCCTCCTCCCACCTCAAGCCCCACCCCCATCTCCTACCTACTAACCTCATCCCACCCCCTTGACCTGTCCGTCCTTCCTGGACTGACCTATCCCCTCCCTAACTCCCCACCTACACTCACCTTTACTGGCTCCATCCCCGCCTCTTTGACCTGTCTATCTCCTCTCCACCTATCTTCTCCTCTATCCATCTTCTATCTGCCTCCCCCTCTCTCCCTATTTATTTCAGAACCCCCTTCCGCTCCCCCATTTCTGAAGAAGGGTCTAGGCCCGAAACGTCAGCTTTCCTGCTCCTCTGATGCTGCTTGGCCTGCTGTGTTCATCCAGCTCTACACCTTGTTACCCAAATATACTACTAGTTAACATGTCATTTCATCTCTGGTAAATGAAAGAATGTACACTTTAAGGCAGAAGCTGAATTAATATACAGTTATTTAGCATGAAGCCACTAAATAAAAAAGCACCCAACATAATCTGCATTGTGTATATATCTACAGCAGGAACAACATTACAATTCTCAAGGTATACCAGAACAGCAAAGCTGTTGATTCCACATTATCCCACAGCATTAAATTGCTCCTTAAAACACAATTACTGTTTACAATGCAGCACATAGTCCATGCATACATCAATCTCTTGGCTGGCTTCAGACTGAGACAAAGCCGGCCACAAAAAAAACCATCAAAATCACTTTGGGATCTAATCAGAACAAAGCTCTGTTAAGGTCTCAGGACCGCATTGTGTTGGTTGCATTTTCATGTCTTTGTTCATTCATGGAATGTGGACATCGCCAGCATTTTCACCCATCCCTAATTGTTCTTGAAGTGAACATTTCAGGGGGCAGCTACTGGGACCCACATTGCTGTGGGTCTGGAGTCACGTGTACGCCAGACTGGGTAAAGATGGTCAAATTCCTTCCGATGCTTTCACACTCGACCATGATAGTTGTCATGGCCACCATTATTGAAACTAGCTTGAATTTAAATATCACCGGGTGGGATTCAAATTAACCTGGGCCTCTGGATTGCTCATCTATTGGAAATTACCATTGGGCTCTCACCTTACTGCATGTTGGTATGGTCAGGAACTGAGTCGACACATTTGCACTGACAATTTAAAGATACCAACATATCAATCCAATGTGTATTACAACAACTACTTAAACAGTGTACTCTCTATCCAATACAACAACTTTCATTTACATAGTACCTAAGATAGTCAACGGTGCTTTACAGGTACTTTAACTGAATCTGACACTGGACTACACAGGAACAGGAGTAGGCCATTCAGACTATCAAGCCTCCCTGCCATTCAATATGATCATTTGATCAAACGCTTCAATGCTTTTTACTCACTACATCCTGTGGAGTGGCACGGTGGCACGGTGGTTAGCACTGCTGCCTCACAGCACCAGGGACCTGGGTTCGATTCCACCCTTTGTGTGACTGTCTGTGTGGAGTTTACACAGTCTCCCTGTGGCGGTGTGGGTTTCCTCTGGGTGCTCCAGTTTCTTCCCGCAGTCCAAAGAAGTGCAGGTTAGGGTGGATTGTGTGGGTTAGCCATGGGAAATTCAGCATGACAGGGTTGGGGTGGGCCTGGGTGAGATACTCTTTGGATAGGGTCAGTGTAGATTCAAATGGCCTGCTTCCACACTGTAGGGATTCTAGCAGTCATGCCCTGTACATGATTGATAAATTTCTGATTACCTATCTCTACCTTAGACATTCTTACATTCTCTTCCCCAGGCCCGTGAGATAGGGAATTCTCAAGGTTCACAATCCTTCGAGTAAATCAAATTCTCCTCATCTCACACTCAAATGACATCCCCCTTATGTTTAAACTGTGCCCCGTGGTTCTAGACTCTCCAGTTAGGGGAAACATATTCCCTGCACTTACTCTGTCTAACCCTTTAAGTATTTTGTAGGTTTCAATAAGATCGCCTCTCATTCATCAATACTCTAGAGGCCCAGCTTGCCCAATCTCTTTTCATAGGACAGCGTCACCATCCTGGGAGGAAGTCTGTTGAACCATCCATTGTACTCCCTCTACAGCAATAATATCTTTCCTGCGATAACAAGGCTAAAATATAAGACGATATTAGGATGGTTGACCAAAAGCTTAGCAAGTACGGTAAGTTATAAGGAGCCTCTTAGATGGAAACAAGAAACAGGTCAACTTATGGAGGGAATTACACAGATCAGAGGTTGAGATAGAATGGACAGCCAGAGACTTTTTCCTAGGGTGGAGGTAGCTATTATGAGGGGGCATAGTTTTAAAGTGAGTGAAGGTAGATATAGGGGAGACGTCAGAGGTAGGTTCTTTACTCAGAGAGTAGTTGGGACGTGGAATGCCTTGCTAGAGAGGGTAGCGGAGTCAGCCTCATTAGGGGCATTAAGCGGCTATTAGATAGGCATATGGATGATAGTATAAGGTGGGCGTGGAGGTTACATAGACCTTAGGTTTAGGGTAAAAGTTCGGCACAACATCGTGGGCCGAAGGGCCTATACTGTGCTGTACTGTTCTATGTTCTTAAGGACCAGACAGCTGAAGTGAAAGAAAACTAGATCATAGAATCCCTACAGTGTGGAAACAGGCCCTTCAACCCAACAAGTCCACACCAAACCTTGGAGCATCCCACCCAGACCTATACCCTATAGCCCACCTAATCTACACATCCCTGGATACTATGGGCAATTTAGCATGGCCAATCCACCTAGCCTGCACATCTTTGGACTGTGGGAGGAAACCAGAGCACCCAGAGGAAACTCACACAGAGGCAGGGAAAATGTGCAAACCCCACACAGTCAGTCACCCATGGGTGGAATTGAATCCAGGTCCCTGGTGCTGTGAGGCAGCAGTGCTAACCACTGAGAAACTGTGCCACTCTACAGAGATCAATTGTTCTAATTTATCTAAATAAGGTGCAGTCCAATTTTGGAGAAGTTGCCCGCTACGTTACCACAACGCAGGGCTTTCGTTCAGCTTCCATCAAGTCAGAATGATGCAGGTTTCCGAATTCACTCCAAAAGATTTGAGCAAATCCTTTCAGATTGACAATATGAACCTTGGAATTAGGCTGTGAGGCACTGTCAAAGTCTCCACTTTTCACAGGAGATCTATCAGGGCACACTACAGATTCTATAGCACTGAAAAATTAACGGGGAGGTTCTAGAACAACTGCTGCTGGTATCAACCCCAACACACACACAGTCAACCAGCTACCTCACCACATCCCTGGGATCTTGCTATGCCTAGAACAGCCGAACTTTTTTGCCTATAGGTCGATATTACTGCACAGAAAAATAACTGTTCAGACTTAGAAAACGTTAACAGACTCAGACTTGTCAACGACATGGGAACAATGAACATTTTACATCAGCAACAATACCCTTGTAACTACCCTGACCGGTTCAAATCATTTGCAGAGGGGCTACACCCGCAGGAAATGCAATTAGTCTGTACAGAAGACAAGGCTTTTTCTATTTAGAAATACTTTTTTTTTAAGAAACCCAACAATGGCGCTTATTAACTGACAGCACAGTTAGTTAAAAAGGGGATAGAATTAAAAAGTTTTTTTTTTAGGTAACATAGCTTCCTTCAATATTCGCCTGGCAGCTCGCTTTCAGAGTAATTCCAAATATTTTCAGGGCGAAGGTTGTGTGGAGAGGAGGGACTTACAAACTTTAAACAAAGTTAACTTTTTTCCCTCTGTTCTTATCAGTGCCAGGCCTTGCACTATCAATCGGGGAGGGTTCCCAGCTGATATTGGGAGGGTTCTCAATGGGAGTAAGGGAGGCCCGGATGGGATTCACAGTCTCCGGGTGGGGAACACAGAAACTCACCTCTGGGGATGCCCAACAGCCTGTACAGGTCCCTTACTGATAACATATCGCCCCGCGTTCCTCATGCTCCCAGCGCTCGCTGTCCCGGGGCGACACAAGCCACCGTCAGTGTCCCGGCCCCGCTGTAAAACCCGCCCGACTAGCGGAGGGAATGGGTCGGTGCAGAAACTTCCAAAGGCATCAACGTTTTGCATTCCTTTTCTGGGAGGTGCAATATTTTATCTGCAACATGCCATTGGTGCCTTTTGCAAAGTTTATGTATATATACTTAAAGCTTGCTGTAAAATATTAATGTAAGGGAATAAAACAAATAACTGCGGATGCTGGAAACCTGATAACAGAAATTTCCAGTGGCTCAGTGGTCAGTGATGCTATCTCACAGCACTAGGGAGTCCAGGTTCGATTCCAGCCTCCGGTTACTCTCTGTGTGGAGTTTGCAAGTTTTCCCCATTCCTGTGTGGGTTGACTCTCAGTCCAAAAACATGCAGGATTAGGTAAATCAGCCATGATAAATTGCCCATAGTGTCTAGGGATACCCGGATTAGCCAGGGGAGTTACAAGGATAGGGTGGAGGGGCAAGTCTAGATGGGATGTGCTCAGAGAGTTGGTATGGTCCTGCCCCCACGCCGAACGATTTCTAGGGGAAAGGGAAAGCTTAGCACCTTTTGGAGAGAAAGCAGAGTAATATTTTGAGTCCAGTGACTGTTCCCTGCTTTCTCTCCACAGATGCCGTCAGACCTGCTGAGTTTCTCCAGCACATTTCTCTTTTGGTAATAATGTTGTCAAGTAACTGTTGAATTCATTTATATTGTGGATGTATCTGTTCTGAAACAAAACAAAATGTCTGGTTCTGCACCCTCCACATCACCTCTTTCTTGCTTGGTCATTACTGCCTTATCCATCAGGAATTTTCCTTTGGGTAAATTTTGCACAGATGGTTGTCAATGGTCAGCACAGACTCTATTCCTCAGTCACCTACTTCAGGCCTCTCCCTGGGCAATTGGATAATGCTGGGACAGACCAGCATTGAAATACTCTCCTGGTCAATGTCTACATCTTGGAGCCTCAGTAATATTGAGTCTGTCTTTATTTAATATTGATTCATGGGGCATGGGTGTTTCTGACCAGGCCAGCATTTATTGCTTGCCCCTAATTGCCCAGAGAGCAGTTAAAAATCAAGCACATTGCTGTGGGTCTGGAGTCACACGTAGGCCAGACCAGGTAAGGATGGCAGCTTCTTTCTCTTAAGTACTATAGCCCAGATCCTGACAAGTCCAGTCCAGCTGATAAGATGAACTAGATTGAATCCCTATCCAGCCATGTCTCTATTTAAATCAAAGCTCATTCTTCTTTTCAACCCTCCATGGTCTCACCACTCCTGATACAACTCCAAAGAGGCTAGTATCCCATCACCAAGTAAAGTTTGATTTACACGTGCATCGTATTTGACACTGGGTCTAGCTTCCTCAGAGCCAGCTATCAGAGTGAGCAGAATCTCTGACACTCCTGTTTATATCTGTCAGCCCAAACTCCCTGATTGGACCAGGTTAACAGGCCCAACCCAAGAACTCATATTCTATGAGGTCCACCATGCTGACCTCATCCCAATTATTACAACTGCCAGCCTCTATAACCCTATTCAGTCCTTCAGGATGCTGAGACTTTCACACCCCTCCTTTTATGGCCTCCTGCAATTTTTTATCACTCAACCAGTGGCAGATTTGTTATAAACTGAAGAGGTCCTTAGCTCTGGAATTCCCTCCTCCCTAAATCTTGTCTCCTCTTTCAGTCTGTTCTCTCCTGTAAGATGCTTCTTAAAACACCTCATTGACCAAGCTCACAGGCACTGTCCGTTATGTCATCTCATGTGGTTCAGTGTTAAACGCTGTTTGATTGAGTTCCTGCGAAATGCCTTGTGTATCTTTTATTTCACCATAGCTTTTGGTTGTAAACTGAAATGAGAAAAAGCACCATTATAAGACCAAGCATTGTGGAAGAGATTGCTGCAGTTTTTAAAAACAAGTTACCAAAACTCATTGTAAGTGATGCTTTGTTCAACCAGTGGGGGAGGTTGGCTCCAAATAGCTGCCACTGCAGGGCCATCTACAAAGTGAGATTCGACTGGCAATAAGTTTCTGATTGGTTTGTGGAGTATGACCATCTGTGGCTGACAAAGACCATCTGCCTGTCAACAACAATCTGATTGGCTCCTAGGTAGTTGAACAGCTCGTGGGTATGAGGCAGATTTCCAGACCTCAGGAAGGGATGGTGGTGGTCTCTCGGCTGTAGAAAATACCTGAAGCCTGAAGAAAATCAATTCTCTCTCCCACAACTTGACGTAAACTGTCACTTTTAATCCATGTCTCAGAGACCTTATCATTTATGAACCAGTCGCTCTGTGCCTCTTGCAAAAAAAAGTGAAAAGTATGGGAGAAGAAAGATTGAAGAACAGCAAAAGTTTTGGCAAGCAAAAGAATCATTTCAGCAACCACATGGACAGTGGCCATTATACAACCTTCCCAGTTGTTCACTCCATCCATATCACCAATACTTTTTTATCTGCAACAAAAACAAAGTTGCTGGAAAAGCTCAGCAGGTCTGGCAGCATCCGTGAAGGAAAAAACAGAGTTAACGTTTCGAGTCTGGTGACCCTTCCTCAGAACTGCATCCACAGTTCTTTTGGTTTTTACTTTTTATCTGCATATGTGTGTTGGGAATGCTTTACAAGGGTGTTTCAAGTTCATTGTTGATTATCTGTAGCTCAAGTCTTCTTTTTTAATTTCATTCATCGGATTGTGGGCAATGCTAGCTAGGTCGGCATTTATTGCCCATTCTTAATTGCCCAGAGCACAGTTAAGAGTCATCACTGTGGGCCTGGAGTCACATATAGGCCAGACCAGGTAAGGATGACAGATTTCCTTCCCTGAGGGACATTAGTGAACCAAATGGGCTTTTATGACAATTGATAATAGTTTCATGATCACCAATATTGAAACAAGGTTTCAACGCTAGATTCAGAGATAGAAAGAACTGCCGATGCTGGAGTCTGAGCTAACACAGTGTGGAGCTGGAGGAACACAGCAGGCCAGGCAGCATCAGAAGAAGGGTCCAGACCTGAAACATTAGCTTTCCTGCTCCTCTGATGCTGCCTGGCCTGCTGTGTTCCTCCAGTTCCACACTGCGTTATTTCAATGCTAGATTTTTATAATTGTATTTAAGTTCCACCAGTTGCCAAAATGGAATTGGAATTGTGATCCCAGAGTGTCTTTCAGATTACCAGCCCAGGAACTAGTAATGACTTATTCATTTTTTTTCCCTGTCTTTCACTTTTAATAACCATGATATTGATTTATACATTTAACATGGTAAAGCAACTGAAAATATGTCACAGGAGCTTAAATCAGGCAAATATTTGATGTCCTTTTTATTCATTCATGGGGTGAGGGCATTGCTGGCTAGGCCAGTATTTATTGCCAATCCTTAATTGTTCTGGAGTCACATGTAGGCCAGACCAGGTAAGAACAGCAGATTTCCTTCCCTAAATTATATTAGTGAATGAGGTGGGTTTTCCCTGACCCTGGTCGTCATTAAACCCTTAATTCCAGATTTTTATTGAATTCAAATCCAAATTCAAATTCCACCACCTGCCATGGGAGAATTCAAACCTGGGTCATTACACAGGTCTCTGGATGAACTGTCTAGCAGTAATACCCACTAGGCTATCACCTCCCCCTTATCACAAGTAATAATTTGAGTTAAGTACAGAAACCTGGTCTGTTTTTTCTGTTCACTTGGGTCTAAACAGCTAGGTACATTAGACTTTGTACATTGATAAAATCTTCAACTTTTTAGATGATTCTCGGAATAGTGGGGTTTGAATTCCAGTGTGCTACCCTCAGTGGACCCTTGAAACAGTTGACTGTTTGAACAGTACTATGTAAGTGGAAGCTGTTGTTTGAATTCAACACGTTATCCAAGATCATTACCACACAGATATTAAAAAAAAGTTTGAAATAATGGGCAAGCAGCTATGGAAGGGTCTAGGCCCAAAACGTCAGCCTTCCTGCTCCTATGATGCTGCTTGGCCTGCTGTGTTCATCCAGCTCTACACCTTGTTATCTCTGTGGAAAAAGCAAGATGACTTTAATGATTCAGGTCGATGAACTTTCATTAAAACAATTCCAAGTGTTTCCAGCAGTTTGCTGGTCATATATTAGCCTTCCAGCATCTGTAGTGAATCTCTTTCCTTTAACAAGCAGTGAACTCAGCGATCTAACAAATCACAGAAGGAAAGGACAGGGAGAAATGCGTCTTTAAGTGGACCAAAATACAACAAGAAAAAATGGTTGTGGATGTTTGCAGAGTTTATTCTTTCCCTTTTCAAAAATAAAAATAAATGTTATTCTCTCAACACCCTATTTATCTTCAACCTAAAACATATTAAAATGGTCGTTTTTTTTTGAAGTACAGGCATCCATCATAAAATGTCTAGTTGCCGTTTTATGACCTTACTCATAGCACATTTGAAAAGTGTGTGCAATGTCACATTCAGACAGCAATCTGGTTAGTCCCACTCCTTCCACTTTCCACATATTCCTGCAATTTTTTTTCTCCTTCAATTATTTACCCATTTCCCCTTTGAAAGCTATCACTGAATGAATATTCACACTATATCAGACATTGCATTCTGCAGCCCAACGACTCATTGTGTTTTTCCTCCAGTCTTCTCGACTTCATTTGCCAATTTACTTAAGTTTGCATCCTATAACTATTGACCATTATGAACAGTTTGTCTTTATTCACTGCCTTCATAGGAACACAGGAGCAGCTGTAGGCCATTCTGCCCATCAAGCCTGCCCCCCCCCCACCCCATTTAATGAGATCATGGTTATCTGTGTCCTAACTCCATTGACCTGCCTTTTGGCCCATATCCCTTTGTTTAACAAAACAAAATCTCAGATTTAAAATTAACAACTGATCCAGTATCCACTGCCCTTTGTGGAAGAGAGTTCCAAACTTCTCTTTGTTTTTAAAAGTGTTTCCGAACATCACTCCTGTATGGTCTGGCCATAAGTCTCAGATTATGCCCCTAGTTCTAGAATCCCCAACCGGTGAAAATAGTTTAT